ACATACACTCACACATACATACTATGGCATAATTAATCAAAAGAAAGCTGGGGTGACTAATATCAGACAGACCTCAGAGCAAAAAACTAAAAAAATCTTGTTAGGGATAAAGGTTATTTCATAATGATAAAGGGGTCAATTTATCAAGAGAACATATTAATGTTTATGAAGCTGGCAACAAAGTTTCAATATATATCATGCAAAAAATGGTAAAAATTAGCCAGGTGGGGTGGCATACGCCTGTAATCAACAGCTCTGGAAGCCGAGGCAGGAGGATCACAAGTTTAAGGCCAGCCTCAGTAACTAAGCAAGGTCTTAAGCAATTAGTGTCTCAAAAAAATAAATACAAATAAACAGGGCTAGTATGTTGCTCAATGGTTAAGCAAGTGCCCCTAGGTTCAATGCCTGATACCCCTCCAAAAAATAAAACAAAAAATTTATAAAACTCCAAGGGCACATAGAGAAATCCACAATCACAGGCATAAATTCTAATATCCTTCTCTTGCAACAAGGGTGATTTCAAAATAATCGTGCTGAGTAAAAGAAGCCAGACAGGAGTGGTGCGGGGAGTGGGGACATAGTACACCGTATATAATTCCAGTTATATAAAATTCTAAAAAAATCATATTAATTTATATTGTCACAAAACATATCAATAGTTGCTTGGGGATAGGAGGAATATGGGAAGAGCAGAGGGATAGGTGTATAGTTACAGAGGGTACAAAGAAACTTTTGGGGATGATAGCTAAGTTTATCATCTTGATTATGGAGACCTCATGGGTGTATCCATGCCAAAACTTGCTAAATTGTACATTTTAAATATATGCAGTTTATTGTTAACTATATCTCAATAAACCTGTTTAATGTGCAAGTGATACAAAATCATCCACTATTCAACCAAGCAACCTCCAGCTCTACAGATAAAGCACTGAAAAAGATAGACACAATACAGAACCAAGACTCTTGGCACAAAAGCAGACACTGAATGCTGCAAAGTGTCTATGAAGCATGGGGTACTACTGGAAAGTACAGAAGAGATTCTAACTTGTACAGATTTTACAGTATGGACTCTAAATATGTAGTCAAGAAAGGAATCCCTGAAGAAGAAGTAAAAGAATAAAGTACAAATTAATTAGGTGAACTATAGGGGGAAACATAAAAAGATCTACTAAATAAGATTCTAGGGAAAGGATGTTTATAGGATAAATATTCAGACATGAAACTGCTGGATAAAAGACAATTACAATTTTAGGAAACAATTTTTTGCTTAGGTTTTTTTTTTCTTTCCATGTTTTTTTTTAAATTGGTGCTTTATAGTTATACATAATGGTGAGATTTATTGTTACATATTTATACATGTACACAATCTAACAATATAATTTGGCCAATGTGACTCCCCAGCACTTCCCCCTTCCTTCCCACTTCCCAACATCTTTTACTTAGTTTTTTGGAGTGGAAAAAGACAAAGTAACACTGTTTATGTTGCAGGGGTAGTTCTAGAACAATTTAATAATATTAAGACAAGAAAATAAGCCTGTTAGCCAAGCTCTTTGAGACCAGAAACCACATCTGCATCCTCATATCTTAAACAGTATTTCACACACCCAAGAGTGCAACGAAAGGTTTGCTAAATTAAACTCCTTGGGTTAGGATAAAAAAATCAAATTATTAGGAGCTCCTCAATTATACCTTAACTATCTCTAGAAATGATACTTTGTAAAGAATCAACCTCTTCTTTTTTTTGTTCTGTTTTTGTTGTTGTGTTTCTTTTGTTCTCAAGTAATTCATAAAAGCCTTCAGACAGTTGTCTCCATTCCTCTGGTCTTCTAAATAACTACAGAGCCATAGGGTAAATGATTTAACCACCAAATTTGCTCATTTCCCTTTATACTTAAAAACCTTCAAACAGCACCACATTACCTCTGGTTTTGCCTTCTAAACACAGAATCTAAGACCAACATTGTGAAATATGGGCGAGGGGAGACAGTGTGATTTTAATAAAGTAAATTAATTTATTCATTTATTTAGACAGTGGGGATTGAACCCAGGGGGTCTTTACCACTAAGCTACATCTCCAGCCCTTTATATTTATTTTGGGACAGGGTCTCACTAAGTTGCCCAGGCTAGCCTGGAACTTGCGATCCTCCTACCTCAATTTCAATTGCTGGGGATTACAGCCATTCACCACCCCAGCCAGCTTAAATGTTTTCACTTTGGAGTATCATTTATTGCGAGATTTCAATTTCTGATTTTTTAATGTTACAATATCCCACACTGACTTTAGGTTTGATTATTTTATTTGATTTAACTAGTAAAGCAAAAGTGCATTTCCACTTAGCAAATTAAAATGCTGGCAAAACTATGACAACTGAACTTTATCTTTTATTGCAATTGCACATGAAAAAGTCTGGGAAGCAAAGGATAAAGTCCAAAAGATGAATAGTGCCCTCATCAGTCTAACTCCTCTTTTTGCAAAATTTTTCACCAATACAGGACTGCAACAGCATTCTGCATACGGCCTACTGATCTTCTTTTCCTTTTAGCTCATGTTTTTCCACAAATGGAATGTCCTCAACAACTTCATTCATTCAACTTATTGAGTACCTACTATGTGCCAAGAACTAAAACAAAGTAGTGAATAAAAGAGAAACATCATGTAATTCAAAGTCTAGTGGAGGAAACATCCATCCAATATAGAATCCGGAACTACAATAATTACTGATTTATGGAGAATGAAATGAAGGATCTCTAAAGTGAAAGCAAGAAGGCTAGTCAGAAAACTACTATATTTTAGGCAAGTGAAAACAACGATTTGGACTAGGAAACATGAGAAGTAAAAATCAGGAGTTTAGGGCACTTGCTGACAAGTTGAACTGAGGACTTCACAAAGAAATACTCAAACATAAATAACTATACAGACTAAATTAACAGTCACAATTTTTATGCCTCCCTGGATCTACGCCATCTTTATGACCTTCCCACACGGAGGGACTCCAGACTTGATTTTTTGATTTGCTTTGACCAGTGGAGCAAAAAAACTTGTTGCAAGGAGCAGCCTGAAAAAAGCACTTATGCACTGCTACTCACAACCTCCAAAGAGCCTGAGCTAGCCTGCAGAAGGATGACAGACCACAAGGAGAGTTAAGCAAAGGTCATCTGGAAGAATCTTAAATCAGTCAATGGCAAAGAACACCCAAATAGATGAAAAAAATCCAGTCATGATGAGCACAGTTGCCTAGCAGACCCATAACTGAACAAGAATGCATGAATGAGCCCATCCAGGACTAGAAGAATCAAGTAGGTAGGCAATCTATGAATTTGTCAGTAACAATCAATTTGTCAGCAACAATAAGTGTTTTTTGGGGTTTTTTTTTAGTTTTTTTTTTTTTTTCCTAATGTATCAGCTCACAAAATATGGTGGTACTATTTGCTGACTAGGAAACAGAGACTGAAAATGGGGTGGGAGGAAGGCAGAAAAGGAAATGAAAAATCAAGCGTATCTTCTCTCATACTGGTTAACCTATATTCTTTATAGCACAACTTAGATATCAACTTCTCCAGAAAGCTGGCCCAGATCCACAGACTAGTTATTCAAGAATTACCATTGTATTTTATACACATATCCATCACTGCCTTCCCACATTATTTTATACTTATTTGGCATTTTCTTCCTAACGAAATAATAGTTATGTTATCCACTACGGACTGTGTCCTATTCACCTTGATAACATTGGCATGTAACAGAACAGGCCCTCTATAGATGTTTCTGAATTTAATAAACGGATAAACAAACACTTCTTTGATACTATAAAGTCTATTAATTAACTCTGGACCCGTATTTCTCACAGTGTGATCCACTCACTGACAACCTGCACCAGAATCAGAAGTGTGTTAAAAAATGGGCAAACCTCCGGGCTCTATCATCAACGTAAATGTACTTTTTACAATGAAAACGTTCTGGCCAGCTACTAACAGTTAGTAGCAATGTGGTTACTAAAACAAAGCAATCAGCAGTGTGATTACAAAATCATCTTTCTTCAAAAAATGTCTAGCGATATTTTTTTTCTACGACAGTCTTCAGTGTGCCCGGACCTGGGAAACTGAAAATGCTCTGACAGGTATGTAGTTTCTCCTCTAAGAAATGGCTCTGCGTCAAAGGAAAACAGGCGTTGGGGTTTTTCCAAGGAGGTGTGGCTTCTCAGCTAACACGTTGACAGACAACGTCCAGAGAACAGAGAACGTCCCGAGCTTTCCCCACGGCAGGGCCAGCGGGGTGGACCGGCGGTCCGAGCCCAGGCATCACCCGTGTGCCCCACCTTGGGGTCGAGGGCGGGCCCAAGGTCCCGCTTTTGAAGAGCCACACCTAAGCGGTTTTCACGGGGCTGAAGGGCATCGTTATCCAGAGGCAACCACCCTGTGTGCACCCCAGCGCGACGGGCAGTAACGAAGCTTATGTTGTTCTGCTTGCCCTAACACACAGAAAGAAAACGCGGGAAGGCTCAGGCCGATGGCAGCCGAAAGAGGAAAGGAAGGGAGTGTGAGGGGTCGCCACAGCTTCCCACCTGCGTCAAGCTCCAGCTGGTAACAGGGCAGTGGCTCGAGAGAGAGCTTGTAACCCTCGAAGCGGGGGTCCAACAGAGGTCTCTTCACCCGCAGGGAGCAATTAGCCGCCACCTCCATCTCTTTCCAAGATCCAAGCGTGGGAATTAATAAAGCTCTTGTTGAAAGGTCCGCGCTTCACTCCTGGAACTGAGGCTGGGAAGCGGCRTGGTTCCCATCCCAGAAACCACTGCGGCGCCAAACTGCCTTTTGGGAAATGTAGTGTGCGCGAGAAATCGGACCCTTGATGTATGCTGGGTTCTGTAGTTTCTCGGGGACTTAAGGCCCGCTCAACGGCAGGACCTGGACTCTCTTACCCAGCGGGCTAAGCGACCAGGAGGCGGCCCGCGCTAGTTAAATTCTCACTTTATAGGCAGGGTGGCGAGACCCCGCCCCGGAAATGCGTGTTCTAGCTTTCTGTGTGCTTAGGTGCCCGAGCTACTGAGGGTCTAAGTCCGGGCAGCCGAAGAGTGTGGTAGGTAACGGTCGTCAGCGCAAGGGTCATTTCGTCGCTGGGAAGGGACGGCCCTCGCCCGCGGTGATGGTGGTGAGCTATGCCCGTGGTCCTCAGGGCCGGGACCCGGGCCCAGCCCAGGCTCCTTTCGATGTGCTGTCTTTCGTTAGCTTCCCCGACCCGCGCTCGCGGGCCTGTAGGGCTCTCCGGCAGGGCGTGCTACTGGAGTTGGCCTGAAGCCAGTCCTCGCTTTGTTTTCTGGCTCCTCCCCTCCCGCCTCTCCAGCTGTCTCCGCCCTGTTCTATTTTCCCAAAGAATGTCTGAACTGGGAGGTATCCCCTAGTGCCCTTGTTTTACCAGTGAGAAAACTGAGGCCTTTAGGAATTAAGTGACTTGTCCAAGGTCACTATCCGTATTTTAGGGGGCCAAGGCGAGATCAAGTATTCCTGATATGGTAACTGACTAGACCTTGTAGTTATTTTGAAAACGTTAGCTTCCAACTACAAAAGTAAACATTTCTTGATTCTTTCTCAAGTCTTCCTTTTCCCTGTTCCCCTTTAAACAGCAACAACAACAACTGAAAACTCATTTCCAGTGTAAGTTTTCATATAGAAGAATTGAGAGACGGGAAAAGTGGTGTGGTGTCAAGTTAGTGACAGATTCGCTGAGGAAAGCTTTTGCTTATTCCAAGTTTTATTGAAACTTTTGGATGGCCCCAAAACCTAACCACACTCTCCTTTCTGCACATTTTGGTTTTGATTGTCTGCTTTTGCTGAAAATTGAAACTTTTCTGAGATAAGAATTAGTTTGAGATTTGTTTTCCACTTAACCCACTGGGAATACTGCATTTGATAAGACACACAATACACATAGACTACAGCTAGTGTAGCAGTTGTAATTCTAAATCCTAGTGAAGACTAAAGTAAAGCACTTAGAATCTTATCTGATGGGTTTCGTTTTTCACTAATACTTTTTTATCTTGTACTGATATTTAGATTATGGCTTCCTCAAATTTTGAATGCAGTTAAGGTGCAGAAATGATCCAGTCATTTATAATGTTCAGTTAAAGTGTTTGGGGGCTTCTAGGAACAAAGTACCTGAGTTGAAATTTTGCTTTCACTATTTTCTATTCCTGTGCCTCAGTTTTCTCAGCTGTAAAATAAAAAATGTTAATATGTAATGATAAGGTTGGGAAATTAAATGTAGTTTTTTAAAAATACACAGAGTACTAGGTGATTAATTGTTTAATAAATGTTCCAAAAATAATAGTTATTAATAAAAGATATACAGGGGAAGGAACTTGTTTAGTGAATAATCAATATGAGTTGGGATGAAGTAAATTATATTTAGAATGATGATATAAGTAATACACTTGAACATCCTTCTAGTTGATAGAATATTAAATCTGTTAGGATGATTGCCCAGAGGATTTAGAAGAAAATACTTTATAAATATTCTATATCTGAACATATATGTTGATGTCCAGGTTAGCAAGATGAACAAAGATGCGCAGATGAGAGCAGCAATTAACCAAAAGTTAATAGAAACTGGAGAAAGAGAACGGTAAGTAATAGATTGTGTTATTAAATTACATTATACCATCTTTAATAGTTACATAATGTTATAAGAATCTAATTATCAAGAAACAAACAAAACATGCCAGTGAAAAGAATTACAGAAAGTTGAGATTATCAAAAACTTCTATTCCTAACAGCTGTAAGAATTTATTTAGGTGCAACATTGCTTGCAAGACTTGGACCAACACAGGCAATGTAGAATCCAGAAATTATTATAATAAATAAATATATAAATTATTATAGATTCTCAAAGAATGTATAATACAGTGAGGAAGAAAAAAATACTCAGATAGCTACAGTTGAAGACATAATGTTACCCAGGTTTTCATAAGACGTCATGATAGAGCCACATTGGAGCAGCATGTGCCATTCCTTTTCTATGAAATATTTCTCTTCTGTTCATTCTTAGTAAATTCTAGTTCATCTCTCATGTATTACTTTAAATATTGCTTCTTCAAGGAATCTAATTATGGATTCCCAAATACTTTGTTCAGTCATATCATTTAATCACATCCTGTTCTAGTTACCTACTTTACTAGTGCGTAGCTCTCAATATAATCCAAGTTCCATGATAGCGAAAACACTTTGTATACCCAGAATCTAATGCTATAACCGACACCTATTTGGTTAAGTAAATATTTGAAGAAGGAACAGGTTTAGAAATATACAGAAGGGGCCAAGGAGTCAATAAAGACTCCTAAAAGCAAGATGATAAAGTTTAAAAGAGAAATATATATGTGTGTATGGAAGAGGAGGAATTTTTTCAATTCTACCTGGGGATTAAGGGGATGGGTAAGATTTCACAGAACAATAAAAGATGCTTATGCTGGGTTAGAAGGATTATCAGTTCTCTAAGCCAGTAAAGGAGAGGATATTATCTTCTAATGGCATGTGCAAAGTCACAGAGCTTGGTACAACATGACTAATTCTCTGGGTACTACAAAATTATAGGAGAAAGCTATACGTAAAGTATAAAAGCATGTGGCTGAAAGAGTGGACAGAAGTATGGATTTGGTATAAGTTAGAATTATTTCAGCTAAAAATAACAGAAACTAAACTCAGAATCTGGCTTAACCAATAGAAACATATAAGCTCATGTAATTAAAATATCTAGGGTTTAAAGTTACTTAATATATCACTAAATTTAGGCATGCAAAAATTATTGCCAAGGATGTATCTTCTCTCACCTCTGCTTTTCTCTATTGTTGGCTTTATTCTTAAAACAGGTGGCAGAGATTAGCAGTTCAAACTTACATATCACTGCTCAGACTGCCTTGTTGAACACAGGACCTACCTTGATTACCATCTTACTTAGGTAATAGGCAAGTTATGATCAGCCTGGCCTAGGCCATATTCCATCACCAGACCCTTAGCCAGATTCTTATACTGAGAATGGCAGTGTTTTGTTTTTAATCAAAGAAAGGTCAGGAAAATTGATGCTCTGATTTGCAAAAACATTCATTGCTCACTTTATATTTGAATGATGGGAATTATTGGAAGATTTTAAGAAAGGGAATAATTAGATCACATTTACACTTTACAAATTGTATTCTGTGTGAAGGATAGATTTGAAGATTCAAGACAGAAAACAGATAAATGACTTAGAAGATTTTATTGGGTTAAAAAGAAAGAAAAACAGCAAAAATGGAAAGGAGAACTTAAAATTTTTTTTAAAAAAAAGTGGAAACAGCTCTTTATATGAGGAAGGAGGCATCAAGAACAGTGCCATGGGTAACTTGAGAAGATAGTACAGCTAGTACTAAGTAGAGGAAATTATGTGTTTTTTTTTTTTTGTTGTTGTTGTTGTTTTCATTTGTGCAGCTTAGTTTCCAAGTTTCAATCACATGGCCTACCCTGTAAGGTGCCGGAGATACAGTAGTCAACAAAATGAATTCTGTTCTTTTATGGAACTTAACACTGTAAAGGGAGGAAACATACAATACATGTGTAATATGGCAGATAATGATGAGTGCTATGAAAATAGTAAAGCAGAGAATAAACATGGTGAGGTGATATTTTGGGTAGAGAACGTTTCACTGCCAACAGATCAGAAGGATATGAGGAAGTGGAGGAGTTCCAAGAGCCAAGGTCCTGAGATGAGCTTGCCTGCTATTTTTGAGAAATACATGGAAGCTAAGGAGACTGCAGAAGCTGAGTGAGGGAGAAAAGAGATAATGTAGAATCATTTAGGCTGTAGTCAAGTCTTAGAGTTCATTCTGGGTAAATTGTGAAGGCACTGGAAGGTTTTGAGCAGTTCAGGATAGTGTGAAGTGCACAATGAAAGAAGCAGGGAGACAACTTAGGTAACAGTCCAGAAAGGAAAAGATGGTGGTTTAAACTAGGATATTGATGAAGATAGTGATAGACATTTGACTTCTAGGTATATATTTTAAAACTAAAACCTGTAGGATATCCTCATGGATTGGATGTGAAGCATTAACAAGGGATCTGAGTAAAAGGTGCTGCCAAAGTTTTCAGCCCAAAGAACCAAAAGAATGGAGTTATTTTGAGAAGGAAGCAAGATGAAGTAGGAGAAAATATAAAGTTGGGTTTTAGCTCTATTGAGAGTAAAAGATCAAAATCATGAAATTTGCAGGGAAAAGGTTGGCATTAGAGCAGATTATGCTAAGTGAAGCTAGCCAATCCCTAAAAACCAAATGCCAAATGTCTTCTTTGATATAAGGAGAACAGCTAAGAACAGAGCAGGGAGGAAGAGCATGAGAATAAGATTAACATTAAACAGGGACGAGAGGTGGGAGGGAAAGGGAGAGAGAAGGGAAATTGCATGGAAATGGAAAGAGACCCTCATTGTTATACAAAATTACATATAAGAGGAAGTGAGGGGAAAGGGGAAAAAAAAACAAGGGGAAGAAATGAATTACAGTAAATGGGGTAGAGAGAGAAGATGGGAGGGGAGGGGGGATAGTAGAGGATAGGAAAGGCAACAGAATACATCAGACACTAGTATGGCAATATGTAAAACAGTGGATGTGTAACCGATGTGATTCTGCAATCTGTATACCGGGTAAAAATGGGAGTTCATAACCCACTTGAATCAAATGTATGAAATCATGTCAAGAGCTTTGTAATGTTTTGAACAACCAATAATTAAAAAAAAGAGTAAAAGATCAAATGGAAATGTCACTTAGTGGATCTCTAGGAATATTCACAGAAGCAATTTGCAGGGAAAGAGAATCTGGTTTGGTATGTGACGTGTTTAAACTGAGAAGTTGGAGGAGTTCTAAGAGTGGTATGTGGCAAAAAATAATAAAATATTTTGTAGCATTCCTGATGCCATTAGTTGCCATATATACCATTTTCTACTATTAAGAAAAAAGAAGATATTGCTAATTATGATATGCATGCGAGCTTCTGAGTTATTAAATTGTGTTGGGGGCCAATCTGTAAGGTTAGAGGGAGATATAGCAGGGAAATAAGAGAGCTAAAGAATAAGAATTTGTGGTAAAAGAGTGGGTTTTGGAACTTGAAGTTTTCAGAGCTGCATCTTCTCTAAGTTCAATACTGTGTCAAAGTTGTATAAGACCCATGATATTCCTGGTGATGAAAGGATATGGGATATGTAAGAAGACAAAAGAGTAGAACTTCTTGAGAACTGTTATAACCCTGCCTCTACATTTAGTTTTACTCTTTATTTAAATGAGACCTAAATAAAATGCAGGACCTAGAGTTTAAATGATTTGTATAAGACTAAATAAAGAACTATTCAGTGATAGAATGAAATTTTGGCCACAACATTTTGGGACTGAAAATTAGGGAATTTTTAGTTGAGTAGTTGAACCTTTGTTTCAAAGATTCTTATCTAAGATGTACATTGTTGTTTACTTTGAAAACACTTTTTTTCCAACAGCCTCAAAGAGTTGCTGAGAGCTAAATTAATTGAATGTGGCTGGAAGGATCAGTTGAAGGCACACTGTAAAGGTAATCAGTTTTACTTAGAAAATAAACTGATTCCATTGTTTTGAACTGGGTTGGTCTGGGATTCACTAGGAAGAAAGTATAGTCAGTATTTTAAAGTCCAAATGCTCAAGCATAATTTTAAACAATAAGAAATTGAATTTTTCAGCAGTGATTTCCTCTTTTAAAACTGTGTATAGACCTGATTGTAAAAAATGTTTAGGAATTTTTTTGTGTATCTCTTCAAACAAGTGAGGAGGCATGGGCGCTCAAGGTTTTCTCTGCCATCAAAATGGATTCCTGGGCTGAGGATGTACCTCAGTGGTCAAATACTTGCCTAGCAAGTATGAGACCCTGGGTTCAATCCCCAGCACTGAAAAGAAGGAAAAAATATATATATATGTTTTTCAGGAACAGTATTCCTAATATGTTTTCACTTCATAACAAATTGAGCACTTGAGAGTTGGCAGACTTACAGGAATTATATCTCCTGTCTGTGTTCTTTTACAAAATTCACCATAAAAGTTCTTGAAGAATTACACTTTTAAAAAATACACAGAAGAGAAGATTGTTAAATTGCTGATTATTGATGATGATACTGTCTGATAGATTACATATCACTAAGATGAGCCTCCTTTCTTGCTCAGTTTTTGGCATAATTGATTTCTGGATATTTTTAATGAATCTCCATTGTTTCATAATGGTTTCTGCAATTAAAAATAATGGGAACTGTTTACACATTAACTATAAGAAGGCAAGTTAGTAAAAGCACTGACTTTAAAGTATTCTGGACTTTGGTGGCTAAAAAACTGGAGCTGGGATTCAGCTATGTGGATTGAGTTTCTTAATTTTTAAGCCTCCATTGCCTCACCTCTGAAGTGAGAGAAATGCTTAGTCCACTATGTAACTGAATATTAAATGGTGTAAAGCACCTAGTGGGGATCCAGTAGATGTTAATCATATCCCCTCTTATATTTCTTTTGGCCCAGCCTTGAGAAAACAAAGGAACAAAGTAGCTCTACCTTTTAATTTTTAGCTATGGAATTACAAGTTTGACTCACATAATAGGTTTTATTTCCTCTGTTATATTTAAATAAGAGCTAGTATGATTATAGTAAAATAAAATCTGTTCTGTTTTAAGTTCCAGCTTTTTATAAATATTAGAGTTCCCAAATTTATTCTAATTGTTATAGTTATTTGTTTAAGTTACAGGTTATTTAGCTGAAAGTTGAACAGACTTGTCTTCTTAATCTGGAGAATACTTAATGTGTTTATGTTATAAATTTTTTTAGAAAAGACAAAAGAAGTGTCCTCTTTTATTTTTTTAAGACCAATATATACTCTAAAAACATGATTTTAACCCTTCCTTATGAAAATCTTTCTTACAGATAATGATTTTAAATGATATGATTTGTTTTTTGCTTTTGCATAAGAGGTAATTAAAGAAAAAGGACTAGAACACGTTACTGTTGATGACTTGGTGGCTGAAATCACTCCAAAAGGCAGAGGTAAGGAGTATAGTCTATGTCAAAGGAAACGTGCTGGTGCAGACATTTTTTTCTTTGCTAATTCAGATGTTTTTTTTTTTCTTTTTATAAGAAAAAGTACCCTTTCCATAATCATGTAGGTGTTTTCATTGCCTCATGAGGGAAGTGTTAAAATTGCCTACCTGCCTCTCGCAATCTCAAATAACAAATGAGATAATAGGTGTAAAATGTTTTTAGTGCTCTAAAATGGTATACCAACATAAGTTGATAGAATTGTTAAGACAGTTTTCAAAATATGGGATTTTACAGAGGCAATTATCATCTGAAGCTAGGATTTACAAACTTTTATGAGGTATAGCCTGTCTCCCCTTAAATATTTAATAATTCAAGAGTTTTACTCCAGCCTCTAAGTCTTTGTTCTGCTCTTTCCTTATTAAAAATAAATGAAGGTCTGTCTTCTTGAATGTCTAATTAAGAATTTGGAAGTTCCACAGCTTCATGTTCAAGGTGATCCATATTTAAGACTCAGAACAACCTTTTCCTTAATTTCCCTCTGAAGTACCTTGTTTACATACAGAAGGGAAAGATAGGAAACATTATATTAATACTGATGATGTGTTACTGTAGATGTTAACTACCTTTTTTTTTTCATTTATTTTGATAAAGTTGGTGGCATTTTTTATTTGTAAGTAGAAACGGGTAAATTAGATGACCTACAAGTTTTTTTTTTTTCTCTCACACAGAAATAGTAACAATAATTTCATTGTAAAAAGTAAGTAAGTTTAAAATTATTACCACAGAACACTAATTCCCTCCTGAGGAGGACCTATGAAATCCAATGATCCTTTCCAACCATTTCTTAAAGCCTATTTGCAGCTGGAAAACATGGGAAATATGGAAAAAAGAAATTATTGTTTTCCTTGTGAATTTATATTTTAAGATAATTTTCTCAAATTTCTTTTTCTGTTTTCAGTAATTTATATTTAATCTGTTAACATTGTTGAGGAACTGGTTATGCAGGTTAGAGTATCTGTTATTCACCACTTGCATCTTGGATATTTCATTGTCTAGCAACTCCCTGCTAGAGAATGAGAATTTTTTTTATTATTAAAGAAAAGTAGAGTAAAAATAAATTGTTTCTTTTTTGTTGTTGTTTTTAGTCTTCCTTTAATTGTCAGGAGCAGACATTTACTTTTTTTAGCATACACTGAAATTGACCTTTTTCAACATGCAGTTTTCTGAACTTTATATACATACATAGATGCATGCAACAACCACTACAACAGTTTTTCTTATCCTAAAAAAACTCCTTCCAGCTGCTGCTTTGTTATTAAACCTTATCCGAAAGCAAATGATGTGTTTTCACTCATCTTAATTCTAAATAAAAATATTTTAATGTATATATTGATTTCATTTCCAGTGGACTTTCAGTTTATAGTCTTCTGAGATAGACTTCAACAATTTATAAAAAGTATTTCCCTTATTTGATTTATGTACTTAGTTGTTTAATTGTATGTGGAAATATTGAAATTTATCTGAAGTTTTTTTATTTCTCTTGAACACAAGCAAATAGTTTTATGTTTTAGTTAATTGCCTCTTTTGAATTTTTGTTTTGTTTAATATTCTAAGAACAGTCACACAGATCAATATTCAGAAAGTTAAAAATATAACATGTAACTGTTGTTGCAGTTTTTTGCATTTTTGCTGGGCCAAGAGAGTATGTGCCTTCATTATTTCTGTAAGACATTGCCAAATTACCTTCCAAAGCATGTACCAGTTTATACTTCCTCTAGCTAAAAAAAAAAAAGGCCTCCTTTCTCTTATTATTGACCTTAGAGTTTGGGTCTATCTGATTGTTAAGATATGCTGTCTGAATGTGCTTTAATTTTCATTTCTCGTCTTAAGAATGAGCCCCTCTTACATAAGAACAGTGTCTCTCCTTTTTATCTCTTTGCTCATTTTTGTTAGCCTTCTGATCTTTTCCTAATCAGTTTGAAATATCTGTGTAGTAGAAGAATCAGTTTTGTTGTTTTTTTTTTTTTTTTTTTTAAAGAATGTTTCCCCATTATGTCTTGTGTCTTTGCTTGTGGTAATTTTGACCAAGTATGAGATGTTGTGTATAAGTCAAATTTATCAGTGTATGACAGCCTGTGTATTTTAAAATGGCTTCCACTGCTAGTTTAAATAATTTTCTTATATTTTCTTTTTATCAGTGTGCAATGTATTTAGGTATTAAATAGTTCATTAAAATAATGAATTACAAGTATTCACTTTCTTTTCAGATATCTCTATTTTTTTAATTGAAACATGAGAGTTATGTATGAAATTCCTTTATTGGTGATCTTGAATAAAATGTCACGTCCCAAATTGACATGTTTTAACAAGAATCATCTTACTCTGATGTTTTTGTTTTTGTGTTTCAGCCCTGGTACCTGACAGTGTAAAGAAGGAGCTCCTACAAAGAATAAGAACATTCCTTGCTCAGCATGCCAGCCTTTAAGGTTGAATTAGATTGTGTTGTTCTGTGTTTTATTTCTGAAAGTACAACTTGCCATAAATTAGAAATCAGTTTCCCAAAATAAAATCCTTTTTTGTATGATGGTATACAGTTTTCAGTAATGATGTATACATTGTATTGATTTTTTTCCCTAAATGTGTTATTTTAATAAATATCTCACGAATGAGTTTGAAGTTTGCTTGGAGTTTGGAATGAATGGGACTCTGTGTTTATTACTAATTCATTAAATTTGTTGAGAAAGTCAGGAATGAATACAGTTTAAGTATTTAGTTTATGCATTTCTTTGTGCTAACAGTTTAGAAGTAAGAAGTCTTTCCTGATTGCATATGTATTCTTGTTTTGAATCCCCATACTGTTTTATAAATTGTAATGCTTCCTCTTGTACCATGGTTATTTATCTTTATTTCTTATTTGTTACAAATTCCAAGGGTTAGTACTGGGTCTTACTCATCTTTATGTGCCTTCCTTATGCTTCAAAGAATTTACCATCTAGTGGAAGAGAGAACATTTGCAAGCTGGCTCCACACCAAGCTCCTCCCACATACTCTACTCATCTGAACTTTGAAAGCAGACTCTATAAATTGCATCCCCACATACTAAGGTCAAGAAAGAACTTAATGGGTGAATAATTTCCACCCATTAGCTTTACTCTGACATCAGGATTGCCAAATCCAATGGACTCTTGTCTATTCTTATGTGACCTCTGCTGGAAAGTGAGAATGTTGACCATCCTGCCACTTGGAACCCTCGTCCCACTCCTCACATTGTTTCTTCCTACCACTGGAAATTCCTTCTGTTTCTTGTGGAGTACCTTTTGCTGATTGTGACTTTTAAGTAATGTTTCTTAGAGCTCTTTCCTGAGCCCTCTGCCTGACTAACTGGATATACTTTTCCTGAGCAAATCCCAGGAAACGGGTCAAACCGTGACTTCAAATACCAACAGGTTGATAAATGCTAAACTGCATCTCCAAACCAGACTTATTTCTAGCCTCCAGACCCATATATTTAACTGCTATGGATCATCTTCATTGGATATTCCTCAAACACCTCAAAATCACCATACCTAAAATAGCAATTTTATTTTCCCCCACTAACTACCCCTGCTGTGTTCCCTATTTCTGAATGGTACTTCCCAGCCATACAGATTACCTGAGGAGCTTGTTAAAATGCTGATTCTGAAGGTAAGAGATATACAGTACAAGATTATACTTTATTTCTAACAAGCTCTGAGTGGGGTTGCATGCTGCTAATTGAGGATCACTTTGAGTACAGTGAGGCTATAAATTTATCTTCTGCCTTCTTTATAAACATAGATTATTGCAGTAGACCCCTAATATTTTCTTGTTCTAGTTGTTCTATGCCTCCCCCAATATCTCTTTCACACTATTGGCTAAGTGGCCTTACTAAAATTCACATCTGATCATTTTATTCCTCTACTTGAAATGTCTCAGTGCAGGACAAAATTTGAACTTGGCATAAAACTTATGCCCCTCTAGATCTATCATCTACTTAAGAGTTCCCCAAAGTTAACAAGTTGTTCCATCCCTAATACTTTTGCAAATGTATCACCCTAGGAAGTCCTTCCCTCCTACTTATCTCATTCCTACTTACCCTTCAGAGTTCAGCTTGAGTTGCTAAAATATCCTGACTCCTCTGGTGTAGATTTCCCCACCACTGTTTTTCCGTAAGAAGCAACTGTATGTTTCTCTTCAACACAGTGGTTCTTCAACTTGCATACATCCAGAGGAGAGGAAACTTGATTTCTTTGACTTTGTATGATGTTTATTTGTGAATGAGTGGGTAAGGGAATGAATGAGCAAATGAACCAGTGAATGAACATGGGAGCATGAAGAAAGATAACAACAAATAGGGTATAATTGAGGAAAAGCTTCACATTAATCTTTTGCAGAAATAATTTCATCTTTCTAATGAATTTTGTAGTCTTTGATCCTGGGCTTAATCGCATAAAGTTTTGAGCCTGAGAAGACACAGTCACAAAAACTTACCCAAAAGAGTTTTTTGTTTCTCTTGATCTCTTATAAAACAATGTTTTAAAGTGCTGATAGGGATGCTTGTCATTTTGCTACTCATTTTTCAAAAAAGAAAAGCAATCTTAAAAGTTACACAGAAAATGTTAGAAAAGTAGTTCTTATTTCTTAGAATTCTTCATGGAAGCAAACCAAAAATTAAAAATTGTTCATTTAGATACTATTTTAATAGTCTAAAAGAATATGAGAAAATGAAAACAATTTATGAAGATAGTTTGAATGGGACAGGAAATAAACTGAATTGAAAATATTTCGTAGCCATTTTTAGTACTAAAGAGCTTAGATTTAAAGTGATAATGCTAAGAACTTTCCCACCTCTAACCCGGAAAGAAACGAGGTTTCATTGACATCATATAGATGTCTCATTTGCTTCTAGAACCATTGATACCTTGTAAATAAACCAACTTTGTGAACATCTTGACTGAAATCATTGATTTATATAAACTTAAGAATACATTCTTTAAAAATCTTGCATACTTTCACTTAATGTTGGAAATTTAATAGGATTATTATTGCATGACTGCATTGGTAAGTATAATTAGGATTACTATAAGCTTCTCTTATAGAATTAAAGAAGATCCAGCTAAATTATTTATGTGATCTCTTAGCTTTGGCCTTACAAGTTATCATTTGAGCAGTGCCAATCCAGGGACTGGGTGATGCTGGGGATTGGTTATTAGATATGGGACTTTCATAACTTGATAAAAAGCTCCACATTCAACACAAAAGAACTGTGACAGCTGCTCAGTAGCTGATGCTGAAAATGATCCAGGAGAGAGTATGTGTGTGTGTGTGTGTTTGTATTTAACCCTTGTAAAAGGCTATCTCATGTTACTCAGTGACTTCATAAAACCCCTCATATTTACCATTAGAAACCACACAAAAGCCATTGGATGAAACCTACCAAGAAAACTAATGGTACGTTCAGAACATTCAGGTTCTAATCTCGTCTATGATACTGAATTATCAGGTAAGACTGACTCTTCTTGAATTTCCTTATCTGGATAATAGATCTGATAATATTGACCTGGCAGGAATTAAAATAATAAAATCTTAATACTAATAATCAGAAGAAAACAGATTCATGTTATTCCTAGCAAGAACTCTAGAAATATTTAAATTATTTACTATGTGTTTTCTAGTTTTATATACATGAATTACACTGTGTCAAATAGCTGCTTTTATTTTTCAGTCATTTCTAGCTAATATTAATTACCATGAGAATAGAAAAATAAAGTTGTACAACTTGGTTGAAATAGAGAAATATCGCTATAATAGCAATTAGGGAAGGTTGACCTTATCTTTAATAATGTTTACCCTCATTCTACTATGAACTACTTTGTGCCTCAGGTTGTATCCTATTTGTCTTTGGATCCTCATTACCTAACAGTGAATTTTTAATGAGTGACAATAGAGAAAAAAATGTGGCATATACCTATTTTACCAGACTTCAAACTCTATTTGGTTTTTGTGCTTACCGGCCAAAAGGGGGCACTAGAAGCTGTATTTTAGTCCTGCTGGTGGCTGTTAAACTACTGGGTATCATTTGAACAGGCCCAATTCCAATAAGGCCAGCCAGTGTTTGCAAGATGAAAGTGTTACTGAATTAAATCAATGTGAGGAACTCAGAATGTGTTCTGGTATAAAATAAGATGAAGCTATAGTGAACATAGATGTTGTTTGACTGGGATTGTTTTCTGCAACCAATTCAGTAAGAAAGAAGCTGATTTACATAGCATATACCACTACTGATAACGGTTCTCTTTCACCAACTTTATCAAGGAGGAGAGGGTAGGGGAGAGGAGGAAATCCTTAACAAATGAAAGAAAAATAATTTTCACTGTATTTAAAGGTAATATCTTTCTTTTTCATCCTRTGTCACTTTGTAAAAAGAAAAAGTATAAATAGAGCATTGTATAATAGTGCGCAAACCCTGTGAACATTCAATGAATATTGGCATATGATGACAATAATAAAGAAAATCAAAGAACAAAGACAGAATTGATTGATACTCATGAAATGATGCTACTCATCAGTCAGTTTTGGGTACAGGGGTTATTAGGACCTTGGACATCCGTAAATGCTCCAGTTTTGTGCCTGGAATTATCAGAATAAAGTGATAAAAAATGGCTTTCAGTTGCCCTATAAATTCTTCCCTAAAATTTTTTGTTGAGGGCATAGTCTTCAGAATGAATCCTTTTTAGACAGCTACTTATATCAAATTTAGACTTCAATGGGGTAAGAGCCACAAAATAGAAAGGTGGAAAAAGAATTGATTGCTAAACCCTTACCTGTTGGATGCTGCAAGTGATTCAGATAACAGTATGCATTGTGTGGTTTGAAACACGGTTTGGCTGAGATACTGACAGTGTGACGGTTCTCTATTTCTTAGTTCTATCATCAATGTATTTAAATGACCAGATTAGTCACTTAAGGGTTCCACCTGACAGTTGCCTTTCAACACTATCTCCTATTTGATAGGGACACTGACAGAATAATAAATTATGAAAATTGTGGGTGCTTCTCTTAAGAGACATGATACAAAGTCAAAGTTATGGTTAGGACTTAGCAAATGTATACATATTTGCTATAACAGCATGTACTCAAAACAGTTTTGTGTATAGGGTCTATCCTCCATGTTTTACCCCAATCCATAAAAACTGGGATTGCAGACAGGCATATTTTGTGAAAAAGAGCTCACACGTTCATTGACTAGTTGTATTTCCTATGGTCCTGATTTAATTTTCTTACTTCTCAGTGGCTTTATAGAGACTACCAATGAAATAACTGCCCCATTTATCATTGTCATCACTTCTCTGATGTTTTTTCCCATCCTGCCAGCTAAGATGTGATTGTCATTAGAACTCCCTTACAATTACCCTCAATTTCTCTCCTTTTTTTTCCAATCACATGTAGTCCTGCTTAAATATAACTACCCAGAAAGTTTATTCCATTTAGAAAACTGAACTTGAAGAAAATATCACAGTTCTGCTAAGTCTCAATTTAAAAATGACAACCAGACATTCTGAAAAACTATTGATATGGCATTGACATGGCAACAATTGGCATTGACATCTGACAAAAAAAGTCAATGTCATGAAGGAAACAAAAAGGAATAAAAGGAGAAAGTAACAGCAAGAAATGGTCTTGATTAAAAGATCAGAGATATTAGGATGTAAAGCAGTGTATCATCCCTGATAAATAAATAACCATTAAGGACATTCTTAGGACATTGGAAAATTATAAACATAGACTGTTAAATTTCTTGAGTATTACAAATGGGTTCTTAAAGAATGAGCATGTTCCATGTTGAAGTATGTAAGGATCAAGTATCACATTATAACTAACTCAAATGGATTAACAATAAAAAATGTGTATAATAAACTAAATATGGAGTGAGAGAAAACCAAACAGCAAATGGGTATCTAATAACTTTGAAATTTGTCATAACAAGTTTGATTCTCTTTAATAATAATTTTTTCAATGAATAAAACACTAGATAAAATCAAAATCTCCTATGGCTTTTGTATATTTAGTTTTATGTAATATTATAGAAGTGTTCCTTTTATATCTATGCATGTTTTATATTGTTTATATAATTCTATAACATTTTTATTTTTAAAAACATCTTCATTGATGGTATGATTGACATACAAAATTTCTGTACTGATTTAATTTATACAATTTAATGAATTTGGTGGTAAGTATATAACCATGAAACACCATTAAGGCCGTAAATACATATCACCACCCAAAGTTTTCTCCTGTTCCTTTGTGGTGGTGGTGGTGGTGATGATCATGTTCATGTTCATGTTCATGTTGGGCATGCGTGTGTGTGTGTGTGTGTGTGTGTGTGTATGTATGTGTGTGAGAGAGAGAGAAAAAACAGCTAAGATTTACCCTCTTAGAATTTAAGCATATACACTCTGCTGTAGAGTACATTTCCAGAACTTACTAACTTGTATAACTAAAACTTTGTATACTCTTTGATAATCACCTCCTTATTTTCCCAGCTCCTGGCAATCACCATTCTATTCTGCTTCTACGAGCTTGACTGTTTGAAATTTCACATATAAAGGAAGTCATACAGTATTTGGTTTTCAGTGGTTGCTAATTTATTTAGCATTATTTCCTCCAGGCTCTATCACATTGTTTCAAATGACAAGATTTATCTCCTTTTTTAAAGGCTGATTGACATTCATCCATCCATGTGGCTTATAAACAAATTTATTTCACAGTTTTGGAGGCTTGGAAATACGAGATTTACTGGCAGATTTGGTGTCTAGTGAGTCGTCTTCTGGTTCATAGAAAGTGTCTTCTTCATGCATCATCATATTGCAAAAGGGTGAATGAGCTCCTTTGGGCCTATTTAATAACAGCACTGTTCTCACTCATAAGGTCTCTGTTCTCATCCTGACCAAAAGTCCACCTCCTAATATCATCATCTTGGAAGTTAGGGTTTGAACATACAAATTTCAGGGGAACACAAACATTCCAACTATAGCATAAAATTAAAATTTGGTTTTTTGTTTTGGTGGATTTTTTAATTGTTTGGGGTTGGGGCAGGGCCGTGTTACTGGAGATTGAACCCTGGGTCATTTTACCACTGAATTACATCTCTAGTCCCTTTTATTTAAATTTTGAGACAGTCTCACCAAAGTGCCATGTTGGCTCTAAACGAGATTCTCCTGCCTCAGCCTCCCAATTATAAGCATGTGCCACTTCGCCAATCTCGGTCTATTTGTTTGTTTGTTTGTTTTAGTGCTGAGGTTTGAACCCAGGGGTGCTTTTACTGCTCAGCCACATCTTCAGCCCCACCTTTTTTATTTTGAGACTGGGTCTCACTAAGTTGTTTCGGGCCTTGCTAAATTGCTGAAGCTGGACCCAAATTGCTATCCTTCTGTTTCAGCCTCCCAAGTCACTGGGGTTACAGGCATGCGCCACCATGCATGGCATCAATTGGTTTTTGACAAAGATGTTAACACACAATAGGAAAGGATAGTCTCTTCAATAAATGTGCTGGGAAAAATACTTATTCACACTCAGAATTAATTACAGCCTCTTCTCATACTGTTCACAAAAAATTCACTTAGAATAGGCTAAAGACAAACATGAAACTGTAAAACTACTAGAAAAATATAGGGAAAAAGACACATGACATTAGCTTGGGTAATGAATTTTTAGATATGATCTCAACAACACAGGAAACAAAGCAAAAATAGATGAATGGAATTGCATCAAAATGAACAGTTTCTGCAGAGACAAGGAAACAATGCAGTACCAGTGAAGAGACAGAAGAAAGGAGAGTAAATATTCACAAAACAAACATCTTGCTAATATTAACAAGATTAATTAAGTTTAATTAATATTAATCCTATTAAGGGTTAATATTAAATTCATAAACTCAACAGAAAAGCAAGAAAACAATAAAAAAAGGGAAAAGGATCTCTACAGACATTTCTCCAAAGAAGACAGGTATATGAAAAAAATGTTCAACATCACTGATCACAAGAGAAATGCAAGTTTAAATCACAATGCTATATCACCTCAAATTATTAGAATGTGTATTAACAAAAAGGAGATAACAAGCACTGGCAAAGGTGAATAAAAGGGAATGGTTTCACACTGGTATGGATGGAATGTATAAAACAGACATTGTTTTAGTCAGCTTTTTTACCACTGTGACTAAAAGACCCAAGTAGCACAATTGTAGAGGAGGAAAAATTTATTGGAGGGCTCATAGTTTCAGAGGTCTCAATCCATAGACAGCCGGCTTTATTCCTCAGGACTCCACCCGCCAATGGAGCACCTCCTCCCACCATACCCCATCTGCCTCTAGTTACCACTCAGTTAATCCAATCAGGGATTAAATAGCTGATTGTATTAAAGCTCTCGTGGCCCAGTCATTTCCCCTCTGAACCTTCACAACGTTGTCTCCCATGAGCTTTTGGGGAATACCTCACATCCAAACCATAACAGACATAATGGAAAACGGTACAAAGGTTTCCCCCAAAATTAAAAATACCATATGATGCAGTAATCTCACTACTGGGTATATATATCCAAAGAAATTGAGATCAGGACCTCAAAGATATATTTTTGCATCCATATTCATTATAGCATTATTCACAATAGCCAAGATATGGAGTTAACAAATGTATATCAATGGATAAATGGACAAAGAAAATGTGGTAAATATACATAATGGAAATCCTACTTTTGCAACAATATAGATGAACCTGGAAGACATTAAGTAAAATAAAACAGACACGGAAAATACCACGTCTTCCTTATAGATGGACTAATTCATGGAAACAGAATAGAATGGTGGCTTTCAGAGGCTGGAGGATAGTGGCTTTGGGGAAATGTTAGCCAATAAAACATTTTAGTTAGAAGGAATAAATTCAAGAGATCTATAATACATGGTAACTACAGTTAATAACAGTATATTACATACTTAAAAATTGAAAAAATGGTAGAGTTTAAAAGTATTCTCACTACTGAAAAAATTATGAGGTAAATAAATTTTGTCCCCTTGAAAAACCAGTGAATGTATATTTCGTAAAATGTACTTCATATTCTGATCCTGTTTTTTGATGTTTTTTAAAAAATACGACGATTTGGAGCTATTCTAGATAATATTGATGACTTTTATGGTTGTTGAAAAAGTTTTGTTCAGGATTGTAACAACAGTCTTAATTGTTAGTGCATGTCTGTGCAAAAAAACAAAAAGTGATGACAGCATAAATTCTTGCTTTACCATGAAGGTAAGAAAATGCCAAATGAATTACTAAGCATTGTTAGAACCTATTATGTAAGGAGTGTAATGCTTGCACTTCTTCAATTCAAACTTTATTTGGGAAAATAATAAAAGCCAAAACAGAACAGTAAAACTTTTCAACATTTCCAAAATGTTAATAGCCTTAGTAGTTTCAAAAGACACCCACAAACTCCAAATTTTTCCAGGTATACACTGAAGGGAAAAGGTGAAACCATTCACTCCTTTATGCCTTGTTTCAATGTGTTAAGGTCTTTCAGTAAGTGAAGTGTTGGACAAGGATACGTCTTCTGGATTTCTCCTCTTTTTCAGTCCAAAAATCAATTTGAACATTTTCAGTGCACATGATTGAACTAAGTACTCTCCAATTTTATGGAATCTTAAAGAAGAGAGTTTTGTAAAGTTGAACCCAACTTTTGGAAGTTGTTGGCCTTTTATTTTGAGATTTTCTTGTGTAAAAATTTTCTCAAAGTTTTCATAAATAACACTGGGGCCTTGCTCAGTGCTATCACATTAATGCAAGTGAAGCTGTAGTCAACAGCCTTCATCATCATCCTGTTCTTCATCATTCCAACTTAAATTGAATGTGTAAAAAAACACAAGGCAAATAATGATAAAATATATGATTCAAGTGGCACTTTGAAGCTCCATGATAAAAGCCTTAAGTCTTAAGCAATTTGATACATCTTATASAAACAAGAAATTTATCTTGTCATTTAGGTAAATCTGTAAAGCAAGAAAGATAGATCTTTGAAAATTCATCCAAAACATTTACCCTTTTTTTATTGCTTTAATCCTCATATTGACAAAGTTTCCAACAAAGCTCAGGAGACAAACCTTTCTGTGACTGTGACTACTTTAATTTTTTTTTTCAGTTGTAGATGGACACAATACCTTTATTTTGTTTGTTTTTATTTTTAATGTGGTGCAGGGATGGATCCCAGTGCCTCATGCATGCTAGGCAAGCGCTTTACCACAGAGCCACAACCCCAGCCCTGAATGGGGCTATTTTTGAGTATAGAATTCCATGGTTCTCTATGTCTATGCCTTACTACATAATGGCTCTCATATCTGATATAATTTACAATTCTCTCACAAAGTCATTTTTAAAGACACACAATATTAATAGAAAAAAATGATCACAAATACCCTCGTTATATTAACCACAGCAGAGTTTGAAAGGAATAAATTAATCATAGAAATTTTGCCATTCACAGAAGTTGCCAAACTCCGTAAGACCTTTATTATTCACAATTTGTTAATAATAATGAATGATGTTAGCACTCTTTTCCCCTCTTTTTTTTTATTAGTTCTTTTTAGTTATACACAACAGTAGAATTCATTTGGACATAACTATAAAAGCATGGAATACATCTTGTTCTAGTTCAGTCCCCAGTTCCTCTCCTTCCCCTTTTTCCCTCCACCCTGTCCCCCTTTCTTCCACTGATATTTTTGCCATTTACCCATAATTGGTTTTTTAAATTAATTTCTTGTGGATGTACATGATGGTGAGATTCACTGTGGTATATTTTTGTATGTGAATAGGAAAAATATTTCAGATTCATTCTACTGTCTTTCCTTTTCCTATTATCCTCCCTTCCCTAATTCCCCTTTGTCTACTCCACTGAACTTTTATTCCTTTTTTTTTTTAATCCTAGCAC